ATGAGCAGAATGGTGAAATAAAACAGGATTCGAGATTTCGGCAGTGGTCACTGAGTTGAGTATAATGAACAATTCAGAAACACTTAATCCGACAGGAACTTATATTTTATCTCAATCTACACCACTGCAGAATATGTTGATGGAAAGTGAATGGACAATTCTCAACTAACCCCATTACCACTTAGCGATAGAAACTTCGATCGCTACATAGGAGGCTAACGTGGAAAATCATTAACTTTGATTTTAATTTAACTTCTATAGTTTGCTATCCGACAGGACAAATCATTTTCCGAGTAGCTTCCACTTGCTTTGAACAATCGAAGAAATACAGTAAAATACCAATCATGAATAAACAAATCGTCCTAAATTTTTCATAGCTTAGTTGCTCTAGTTGAATGGCTGGATCTCACAAATCGTCTGGGGTTCAGCTCTTCAATTTAATCCGTCACGTTAGAACCAGCATCTCTATTCCACATTAGAAGGATATTTGTCACCTTATAAAAAGTATTCTTCCACGAAGCCATTAATTCTTGTGATGGCCTCGGTTTCTGTAATTACTCAACAAGCTGAATGAGTGTAAAAGTCCCACTTCTTCGTCCAAACCGACAAACTGTGGATGAAAGATAAAGCTCTCGTCGTTGATAAATCCCTGAGGGAAGCGCCACGGATCCGACTTCATTAAGCATCGCTGAAGGTGATTGAATGCATATCTGACCTTTACAATGACTCATGGTGGCCTACTGATGTATCGAGCCAGTGCTGTTATTCCCCCAGACAAGTCTGGTACCAATATGCCGACCACGGAAAGAGGGAAGGGATTACAGGCTTAGAGCACGAGATCGATCCTATGTGTTTTGTAGGGCTCCTCTGACCACTGCGCTGCACGCGCCCTACAAAATTATGGAGATCGTAAAGACCCGTTTTTCTCAAATAACACTGTAGGAGTGGAAATTATACTGCCATCAATGAAAATGATCGGAGGAAAAACTTAAGCTCCAAAAAAAAAAGAAAAAAAGGGACAAGTGGACAACAATGTTACAGTGATTACCACAAACACAAACGAAGATATCATTCACCTGCTAGAAAAGTGTTGAATTTCCATATTGCTAGAAGAAAAAGACTGCCGTTTTCTTTGCATCGTCAAATTGTTTCATTCATGTATTTAAAGCCTACTTTTTTCTAGCCTTCTGATATATTCCAGTACAACTCTAATCGAACTATGAACCATTGAATCATTATCGAATTTGCTACCATCTTTTAACATGTCAGCTTTAAGTAGCATAGTTGCCTGCTCTTTGGAGATTTTTTTATAAAATGATGTTGATTAATTTGTTAATTTGGGGAGATGAGGGAGGGGTGGGCGGTTAGTAGTCAGTACACATATAATCAGGCCAGCGAAGCCACCCATCCTCCCAAGTTCAGCAGTTTGCTGTCAGAGTTGCCTCAAAATAGCTCACTCTGATATATAAAGGAAATTGAAAGTTACTGCTTGTGGGTGAGGATCTGGTACATTCTAGCATGGCTAGCTCGGGATTAAGGTTAGAATAAAACGCAACCTGCATTCAACGACATCCAGGAGAGAAACAAAATCCTCAACATATGACGGATTTCACACGCACATCCGAAGACCCTTGTGGATGACATGTGTAAGAGAGCGAGCCAAATGGAAAACGTTCCGGGAGCTTCACAATGTGTGAAGACGGCTAATAAAAGGCCAAATTTGTTAGTTCACGTCAAATGTGATTTCTAAACATCAACAATATTTAGGTAGTTGAATGTTTCGAATTCTCTCATCTTGTTCATTCTTTCTTGGTACACGAATTCCTATGATGGTACAATTTTCACTATACATTTCACCTAATACTTCCTATTCTTGTTGAGCAAACGCGAGGTGTTACTTTTATTCTTTATTCACGAATAAGCTGGCGTTTCGGCGGATTCCGCCTTCCTCAGAGCCTGGAACGGTCAAGTTGACAGCAATCTATTCGGCCAAACACCTCGATAACAAAACAAAGAAAACGCTAAACCAAGACTTCAATCACATTGAGCACAACTTTGCACACTCACCGCTTTCTATGAGGTCTCCACTAAGTATGTCACGTAGAGACCAACCGCACAGAAATCACATGGAAGTATAATGTGCCCCACTCATCAAAATAGCAGTCTTATATACTGCCCAATGTCACGAGTGATAATGAGGCATTCTTCCTTGAGGTTCATTTTCGGATTTCTGGAATTAATCCAGAGCGCCTTGAGAGTTTTGCGCGCTTGTGTTCTCCATTCTTATGCGAGGATCGTGCACAGTCAGAGTATATCAAATTCACCCGAGAGAAACCGAAATAAAAATGGCTTCCATTCCTGAACGTCCAAATTCACCTGTTAGGAAATGGCTACATTACAAAGTGGTAATGAAAGCCAAGTAGTAAAAAAATCTTGGTTCATTACCTCTCCTCTCACCCCTCTCACACGGAAGGGGCGCTTGTAAGAAACATGTTTCGAACAGCAACCAACGTGTGCACGGGAAGAGAGCAGAGAGAGGAGTCCCGGAACTTGGCGCGGCAAATAGCCATTTCTAATGGCTACGAAACTGTAGTTCAGGATAGGTGTAGGGGAAATCCTAGGCCTCAAAACAACAACTCTAGCCATAGAAAGGTCCCTTTTATCCTACCCTTCATCTCAAATGAAGCAAGTGCAGCTATAAAACGCTGTTTAATAAGGACCGGTCTAGAGAAATCGGTAACGATAATTGAAATACCACCGAGTAATCTTAGGCGCCAGCTAGTTTGTAACCGCCTATATGACCGTCTATGGGCAACGCAAAATTGCATAATTTGCTCTAATGGTAGAGACGGTGGTTGCATGAGCTCGGGTATAGTTTACCTGATCTCCTTTAAGGCGTGCGGAGACGAATGCATTGGCGAAACGGGCAGAATCCTCTGTGTCCGCATAAAAGAACACCTAGCCGACAAACGTCTACCAAATACCCCACTAGGCAAGCAACAAAGGACCCAGAGACATAACGGGGAGGACTTTGAAGTACGTGTCACGATCCTCGCACGAGAATCGAGAACACAAGCGCACAATACTCTCGAGTGTTCTGGATTAATTCCAGAAATCTGAAAACGAACCGCAGGTAAGAATGCCTCATTATCGCGTGTGATATTGGGCAGTATATAAGACTGTTATTCTGATGGGAGGGGCACATTACCCTTCCATGTGGATTCTGTGCTGTTGGACTTCATGCGACATACCCTGCGGAGGCGTTGTAGAAAGCGGTGGGTGTGCAAAGCTGTGTTTAATGTGATTAAAATCTTGGTTTAGCGTTTTCTTTGTTTGGTTATGGAGGTGTTTGCTGTTTGTTGTTTGAATACATTGCTGTCAACTTGACCTTTCCAGGCACTGAGGAAGGCGAAATCCGCCGAAACGTCAGCTTATTCGTGAATAAAGAATAAAAGTAACACCTCGCGTTTGCTCAACAAAAATACGAAGAATTACTTGATCGATGTCGAGGTTAATAGAAAGTCGGTCGTTGGAGTTACATTTCACCTAGTTTATCAGCATACTGATTCCGTTATTCTCGAATCAATTTACTCATAAATACTTTACAACGGATTTACTATAGTAGTTGTTGGCACGTTAGCTAAGGGCCCTCTGTGTTGAAGAGGTGGTAATGGCGTACCGAGGGCAAACACCTGACTTCATATGTTTGAGGCGTGAGAACCATAACTGAAAGGATTCATATAGCATTCTCAACGATTTCCGCCTCATCATGACTGGGAGGTGTTCCTGGGTGTAGGGCTGCGATGTACGGTGGAGGGATTCATCATCCTAGCAGAGCCTCCCAAGCTGAGAAGAGGTCCGGCGAGTCCGGCGATCTCATGAAGAAGCCCAGCTGAGCAAACCAATACCAGGATCCACCACTGCTTTGGTATCATACTAGTCGCATGGTGGTAAATCTCCCTCTGAACCACAGCGGCGGCGACTACCTGTGATGGCGTGATGACGACCCGGGGCGGACTTTCGCTAGGCTAACCTCGGGACTCTAGAGAACCTCAATGACTAAAAGAGTAAAACTCCGAAAAAACGGAAATCATTCTGGGGCCTGCACAACCAGTGAAGACGACTTGCCATCCAACTATCAAAGTATCCAAGTAATCGCAACGTGAAGGCTCTCAATGCAATGGTGTATCTTCGAATCTACGGAACAATATTTATGAACGGATTGATTCTTTGAGAGGACTTCATCGAATTGTAAGCCTTACAAGTCGGAAACGCATACGAGGTCCATTCCGTGTGTCTTAATAATCAGAGTATAAAAGTTATAAATCAGAGTATAGTTGGCGTAGGTTAAATAAGTACGTTAAAGTCTCGTTCACGTTCACAAACAAACAGCCCTACACTTAAGAGATTCCCTAATTGAAAAATGTATTTGGTTGCCGATATTACAACCTCTATAATGGGCGTTTTCCGGAATGAGATCAACAGTTTGTCTGTGCATACTAGTAATTCCGCAAAAAAAAAAAGAAAACAAAAAAGTGCAGTACTACTCCACAGAACCCTCGATCTCCACACATAGCGCGTCTGCATCGTCTTTGCGCTTGTCGTGTCTCGAAATCGATCGATATTCGACTTCGTGCCGACTGCTCACATTCACCCGACAGACGGACGCACGGACGCACGGGCGGACGCACTGACGGACGGACGTACGGGCCGACGGAGAAACGGTCACCAGGTCATCTCGACATTATTGCACTGCTGACTAATTGTATTTTCTGCTAACCTCATTGCAGGATCTCACGATCTCTACATGCTTCGGCTTGGGAATTTAGCGGTATATGTTGTTTTCGCAATGTTTTTTCTCTAAACTTCTCCTTAGATTTCGTTTTGCATTGGGAATGTGGTGATTTCTTTAGGTTGAACCTCTGAATAGATGATAGAGGTCGAGCATCGACTTGTTCGGCAACGTTCATCCAAATCGTCTCATCAGAGTTAGCATTGTCATGGCTATGGTCAAGTACTGGGGTGACGAGAAGCATGCGGTATTTTGACATGATTCTTTCTTTCTCATCAGTGTTACATCAGTTGTCATGAATTTGTAACTTCAGGCTTTCTTGCTTAGTGATGATTTAGGGACCTGTGAAATTCTTTACGTATGGTTTGACAGTGATTTTTGTTGAACACTTGTGCTTCGTCGTCAGTGACCTTGTTTTAAAAAAAGACAGGAGCACACCATTCAGGATAGGATCTGGGACAGAGCTAAAGTGCTTTGATTTAGTTTGAAAACATTTCAGGATGCAATTTATGCTGTGTATCTTAAGAAAGTCCGATATGTGCCTCCTGCGGGCTATGATGGAGTCCCAGTGAGCTTCTTTAAAATGATCTCTACTTTGTTACGATTTACGCTTTCACTGATTTGACTCGAACATCTACCACTTTCTCTAAACCATATTTTGTGCCAAATTCTTATAACAGCGATACCGTGCCATTGATCCGGACCGTCCACAACTTCATTGTCCTTGTTCTGGATCTGATCACCTTCAGTGGGAAAGTGTGAAGGAACGCGTCATCAAAGCAGGGACTATTGAGAAGCTTGTAGTAAGTATATGGTATAATGAAGTTCGTCGATTATATAAATATGATCTTACTTACTGGATACTTGAAGAATGACCCATCCTCGCTGGTTGTGTGGGCCTTAGCATAATCTCCATTTTTCGGAGATTTGCTGGTTAAGCCGTTATGGTGCCATGGAATCGCGAGGTCAGCTTGACAAAGTCTGCCCCACGTCGTCACCACCACAGGCTGTCGCAGCCCTTGTGGATCAGAGGGAGATTTGCCACTTTGCAACTTTGATGCCAGGACGGTGGTGGATCCTGCTATTGGTTTACTATTAGGTAGGTTTGCTGATGGAAACGCCGGACTCCTCAGCTTGAGAGACCCTGCCAGGGGATGAATCCCCTGCTGTACATCGCAGTCCGACGCCCAGGAATGCCTCCCAGCCGCGATGAGGTGGTAAACCATTGGGAGATCATTGATCATTGACGGTTTTTGATCATGTTCATTTTGAGATAGTCCATTGACGAATGAGTAGCGTTCTGGTACTTAACACTGTTTGAGACGAAGAAATACGACTCCTAGGTGTGCTGAGATGTTATAAATGCATAAAAATGTTTTAAATTGGTGCATCTTTAGGAATCTCTCGTTGCTTCCGATGGCACTGTGGACTCGAGACATTTTAATGTTTTCTTCGCGACGTATCGGGCATTCACTGAACCTACGGACGTGCTTGATCGGTCAGTTACTACTAAATCTAATGCTTCTAGTGTCTCGTGGTTTTGTCAGGAAGAGTAGAATCGCTAATAAATTCTTCACTTAAGGTTGCTACGTCGATACGAATCGCTTGAAAAGGATGTTAATACTAACACGTCTGCTCTTGTCATTCAAAAGTTCGTTGCTTCACTGCTCTCCTAGACTACCGCCTAAATTAGACCATCTCTAGAAATCTTCTCATTGTAGTTCTATTCGCTCAATATTGGTTTGTTGGTTGGATATGTATTCGGAAGATTTCTATGATCCATCGTGCAATTTCGCAATGTTAACTAATTTACTGGATTTCGGGCAGCGTTGTAAACTGTCTGATTTGCGTGCCAAATCCAGGAAACTACTAGAGCGCTTCAAGCACATTCAGGAGGAAGGCGGAATGATAGGTAGCAACATATGTTATTGCAAACTCCTGTCATAAAGTGGCCTAATTTTATTTGTAGCTTCTCTTCCATCCCTGGACCAGTTAGCTTACGCATTTGGGTACGATGCAGTGGAATATTCTAAAAATCCACGAGAAAGGTTGGTGATTTTTCCTTACTTATTTTTTGTGTCCAAAGACGTTTTCAAGCTGTTTTGTTGTTCACACTGTCACTTCATTTTCTTTTATGTTGGCTTAAGTATATAGAGTGAACGTATTCATGCGCATTGGGGATCTTTATTTGATTGGGGAACAAGAGAGTTCAGTGTACACCTAATCCCACCTAATTCGTGAACTCGTCAATTCTTCAACTTGAGCATCTTAGTAGGTAGTGTTAATAAGCGAAAAAAATCTCACCATTTTAATTGGTTTCAGTAAAGCATTATGAAACAGCGAATATCCCAAGACTGACCTCTCTTAAGCTCCTTATTCCTTAGATTTAACCAAAAGTATATCTTAGTAGCATGACAAAAGCATCAATCAAAATTTGAGCCTGACACATGAAAAGATTTGTTATTATTTCGGGAAGAATGTAGGGAATTCTAATTATTGGACTTAATTTGACTAATATCATAGCTTTTCGGTATAAATCGTGCTGGCAAAAAGAATTTAGAATGTTTGACTTGGAAAGATCTGTCACTTTAAGTCGCAAATGTGAACAGAAGCGACGATCGAAAAACAGAAGTGCCCTCTAAGTTAGGGAGAATGGAAAATCATGGCGTAAATAATAAATAGGTCATGTAAGCTTATTTCAGAGTAAAGATGTTTGATGTAGGTAGCGAAAACTGTGTTCAAATTGCGGAGCAGCTGACATTCTGGGATGCGGTACCTTGAAATATTTCTTTTCTTTTTCTTATGTTTTTTTCATCTCTTTTTTCTGTGTTTTCTCTTGTGAAAGCTGTTCACACATGCTGGTTTATTCGAGTTTTCATTCACCTTTCTGTGTCCTTTATTCTATATCTGTAGGAACTCTTCCGCGAGCTCATAATTCATCAGTGTCAAGGATGCGTCTGGTCGAAAAGACATCGCTTAGGTAATGACAAAGTCTACACAGTGAAAGCGACAATTGATCAGGTACTCATGTTATAGTGTCTTTTGAAAAACAAGGATGTGAATGCAAAGAAAAATGTTCGTTTTGGTTTCAGATGCCACTTTTAATGTTAGAGGTTGAACCGGTTATCCTGAATCCTATTGTCCCTCATATAAATGCTTACTTATGTCTTCATTGCCGATAATCTAGGTATTTTTTTAAAAAACCCGCTTTTGTCTGGAATGGTAGCGCATCTCATAAGCTGAATGAAGAGAAATTGTTGGGAGGCGCTCTGCAATACGCACGGGATCGATTCCCGCGACCAAGGCTCACCAACCCTTCCATCCATCCGGGGTTGGAAAATTGGTACCAGACTTGTCTGAGAGGATAACAGCACTGACTGGATACATCGGTAGACCACCGCATGTCATTGGAAAGGCCAGATATGCATCCAGTCACCTCCCGCGATGTTTAATGAAGTCGAGTGCATGACGTATCCCTCAGCGATTGACGAACGCCGAGAGCTTTATCTTTTCTCCTTTTGTGTGATTGACTGACTCCTATTAGATATGCTGTTCTTACCAGTAAGCAATAGCGACATAGGTTCTTGTCGAAAATCTAGGAAAATTGCATGTAAGACAATTGTAGAAGCACATCGTGCTGGAGTAGCTGCCTCAGGTCGTTGTCAATGCACTAGTTGTTTGTACTAATTTATATAGACACTCGTTGAGATTCGTCTTTGTGTTATATTTATCTGTGTCAGGACATATGCGCAAATCATGTACACGCGTTTTATCAATTATTGTTAGATAACTTTCACTGTATTTGGAAACGAATATTTTTAATCCGTAGTATTTGCTGTAGTACTCCCAACGGATTAAGGGCTCATCATTGCTGGAAGGTATTCCTGAGTGTCGGGCTGCGACGTACAGCGACGGGATTCATCCCCCCAGCAGGTTCTCCCAAGCTGAGAAGGAGTCCAGCGTTTCCATCAGGAAACCTAGCTTGAAATAAACCAATAATAAGATCTAACACCGTCCTGGTATCGAATTAGTTGCATGCTGGCGAATCGCCCTCTGATCCGCAGAGGCTGAGACCGCCTGTGGTGGTGGCGACCTGGAGCAGGCTTTGACCTGGCTCACCTTAGGACTCCAGGGAACCACACTGACTACGCTGGGAAAACTTCGAAACAATGGAGATTTTGTTGAGGCCCGCACCACCAATGAGGAAGGTCCGTCTAATGTAAATGTTATTTGCTGGAATATGAGAAGGAAATTAGAATAATGTTTCTGTTCTTTGAAAGATGTAAAGTATCGTGATTTGAATGTTTCGCTACGAATTTCGAGCAAGATGAGTTTAATTATAGTTCAATGCCGTCTCTCAAAGAGTGATGACAAGTATAGTACTCCCCGATTGTCGACCTGATTTTCGAGCCAAGATCATTGCCAAGTGGATCGACATTGCAAGGGTTTGCTACACATTTTTATAGCTTGGTATTCTTTTGAAGGTTTGTGACTTCAGTGTCGTTGATTCCCATTCTCTTCTTTTCCTTATAGCTTTCTTTCTATCCTTTCTTTTTCTGTCCTTTAGATAATTTTTTTCGCAAGTTTTTTGAGGTTTCTCTAATTTATCATTTTTTTATAGGAGCTTCGAGCGTTAAAAAATTTCTCATCGTTGAAAGCAGTTCTTTCCAGTCTTCAGTCGGAGCCTGTCCATCGACTGAAGTCGTCCTGGGCTCTTGTACCTAGGTACATGGTTAAGTGTTGTTCAAAATCACATTGTCGCACTATATGTTACTATCTGTTAATGGAGCATTTTAGTCGATATCTGGCACAATTTCGAGACTTGTCGTCAATTTATGACATGGACGAGGTGGGAGATGAACGAAACGCACGTCGTATTCTTGAACAGGTCGGAAGTTAACAAAGTTTTGTAGTTTTCTTTTCACGCTCGCATGAATGTTATTTTGTACCCGCTATGCTGCTGTAATATATTTAACCATAGGCATAATAGTGGTCCCAAGTAACTTTTCTACGTTGAATGTTCCCTTCCAAGGGTTTACGGCTTCATCGTGGCTGGGACGTGTTCTTAGGTGTCGGGCTGCGATGTACAACGGAGAGATTCATCCCCCAGCAGGATTCCCAAGCTGAGAAGGAGTCTAGTGTTTTCATCGTGAAACCCAAACCTAGTTAACCAATACCACGATCCACCACCGTCCTGGTATCAAACTAGTCGTATAGTGGCGATTCTCTCTGTGATCCACAAGTTCGGCGACTGCATGTGGTAGTGACGACCTGGAGCAGACTCACTAGGCAGACTTCTGGACTGCAGGGAACAATCCATGTAAATGTTGTTTGTAAGTTATTCTTCTGCACTAGTGTTCAATGAATGGGTCATGAAGTATGAAATGTTAATTAATTTTTTCTCGCTTTGGTGTTAATTGAATTTTGTGGTGAAATTTCTTGTTTTTGTTTGGAACTGTACCTTGTCTCCGTTATTCTAGGAGGGGACTGCCAAAAGCTCACCTCTGAGACGCCCACAGTTGGTTCAGAATTGTCGACGTACAAAGAGTGATGTGAATCTCGCTGAATGTCAAGGCACTGTGCCATACTTGGGTTCATTTCTCACCGATTTGACTATGATTGATCAGGCCACACAAGATTTCACGGAAGGCAAGTTTTTGATTAGTCACGAAATCAACCAAGCTTTCCCTCATATTCTGCGTTATTGTGGTAATGCACCAGAAGCGTTTTATGAACACGTCTGTGCAGTTCTCATGGACGTAAATACTTCTAGAACAATCACTTTGGTTTTAGTTTAGCGTTTATCTCCATTTTTGTCTTCGTTTCATCTCTCTCCTTCTCTTCTCCTGTTTTTTGGTGTGTCGCACCAATTATTTCACTGTGGCTTCTATCTGTTTAGCTTCAACTATACATCGCATCTTCCATTTGGTTTACTACGACCTTTATCATATCCTCTGTTTCTTATTATTAGTTTCACTGGTTTTATTTCAATGGCCGATTGGTATACAGAGGTTAATAATTTGTTTAGGACCACATTGATCAAGTTTATTGAAATCAAATTTGACTAGCCGTTTCTTCGGTATTAAATGTTCGTTTTGTGGCAGAAGGACTGATCAATTTCGAGAAGCGACGGAAGGAATTTGAAGTGCTAGCCAAACTGCGGCTTTTCCAGTCTGCTGCTCGTGCATATCATATTCCAATGGATCGTGTTTTTTGTGCGTGGTTCCACTTCCTCCCCTGCTTATCTGAGAAAGAGTGGTGATTTTTAAACATTTTTCACTTATTTTGCTCACTCACCATAAAATTTGATGACTCTTCGTGTTCTTTGTCTAAAATGCAGCGCTCATTACAAATATGGGTCACCAAACATTGGTTTGTATCCCAGTTTGAAACAAGTCTTATTTCAGCTTTAGTCGGTCGCTGGAAGTTGAGCTACCACCTTTGGTATCAACACCTGATTTGGGCTCGCATCATAACACTTCATTATCAAACGGAAACTTGAGTGCAGCCTCAAAAAGGTATTCGTTAGAAATGTTCGGTCCACACTAATTTTGCATTGTATTTTGGAGAAACCGTAGAATCGCAGATAGCGTTTTTAAGTGCTAGAAAATATTTCGAAGCTTCAGTATTCCTTTGACTGAAATCAGTTATGATTTATTGAAGTCATGTACACTCTACTTTTTGTCTTTTCTAGTAGCAGAGGTTCTCAAAACTGCACTTTATTTATATTAATGAACGTGCCCTCTTTCTAGCAGCACGCTCTCTCGCCTCTTCAATACATCTCGTCTGGGTGACGAAACTGGACTGAGCTCTGTACAACCAGGCACACTTTCACATTCTACCTATGTCGACCATGTGCTCGAAACCGGCATACTGGCAATCGATGCTGGTGCATCGAAAGAAAATACTAACCTTGAGGAATGGATCGACGGTAGAGTGGACGGTGGACCTCCTGGACCGGTAATAATTTTAAAATCTATTGCTTCCATTTTGCTTTGAAATTCCATTTCGTACACCCAAAATCTGATTATATGTTTATATATCAGTCGGCATTGGGTGATCCTCTTTTTATTTTTCCATCATTACACGCTTATACTGCGGAAAATATATTCTATAGGTTATTTCGTGGCTCGGATTGCTAGAAATCTACACACGTTATAGATCTCACTTTCACGGACTTTCTCGCGAATTGGTGATGTTCAATCTTTTACCGCACCTTCAACTCCCGCAAGTTCCATGTCGTTCAAAGGTGGAAGGCCAATATTTTATCAAAGACGTATTGGTATGTAGTTTTGAGATGGAATAGTTTAATCCGAATGAGTTATGGTAAATGCACTTAACTTGAGGGGATTGGAAATAACCTAGGCGATGGAAATGAGTCGTGCTGTTTAACCTTTACTCGACGACGCTTAATTTTGCTTAACTGCCGCACTGTAAAACACCTGATTTCATGTCCTTGCAGACCTGCTGGTTTTTCTACTGTAGACGATTCTATTTCAATAACAAGATGGCTTAGCGGGTTGGGTATGCTGCAGAATTATAGGGGATACTTTGCTGTGTTGCCCTTTGGGAACAAAATGCTATATGCGCCGTTATTTACTATTTATTACTACGGTCCGTCGTATAAACACTCTCTTTTAAGCAATCAGAGGTGTTTTACGGCGTGTATTGAGTATGTTTCTGGTGCCCACCCATTCCAATATGGGATCTTATTCGGTAATCAGGCGATATGCCTCAGCCCTCAGGCGCGATAAAATCGGATCTGGACTTCCCACAATTCATAACGATTAGGATTGAAATAATATTCAATTGTCAATCAAATTACCGGGGAACGAACTAGTTAGAGAAAAGTTTTTCCCTATATTCGTAAATGGCAGAATGGAGCCTTTCAGGTCAATGGAGGCCACAACATCTACGTTGATTGAGTAATAAACTATTTCTAAAATGTAAAAGAACAATTCTGTGCGCTAATAAACTATTGAGGACAAAATTAATTCTACATAGGTGATCCCGGGTCACTATATCGTCTAACAAATGACATCCATAGAGGTGACTTTTGCGTTGGTGTTAAACAAGAAGATAGAGGTTTTTCAAAAACCACTGTGTGCATATATGGACGACCAAAAATTCGTTTAGGATGTGAATTCTCACCTTTGGATGTCTTCCCACATAAGAGAGCGTACAGTGGCGAATCGACACAGGAATTAGAAGCATCGATATCTGCGTCTATGGCTGAATGTTTAGGGAAGAACGAAAATCTTTTGGTGAATTTTGAAGTGGCAGCTTATTATTAACGTGTATTTACGATAGTCAGAAGTCCACTTGCAGCTTACTTAGCACTGAAGATTGCCCTGCTTTTTTAACCTCATGGATCGTCATGAAAATGTGCTTTGTGAATTTGGTTTTGCCTAATTCAATGAGATGGGAGAAAAAGTACTTTGCATTGGTCACTGGACGTTTTCCCTTTTCCAGAGGCCATGTTGCGAGAATCCATGCATGGATTGCGATGACATGGTTTGTTGCGATGTTTCACGACCTGACCAACATAGACGAAGTCTTCATCATAGCGACGTTCGTTTTTCGTTCCCATTATGTTCTGTGCATGCTGTTGAATTGTATCGAATCACTACTTATTACTGCTTAATTGCTTGAATTTTTTACGTTATTAACGCAGACTGCAAGTGAAACAAAATTTTAGAGGAAATAGTTAAAACTAATTCTAACGAGTGCCAAAAAAATTAACTAAGTGATTTCAATCGATCGTCTACATTTTATTAACATGTGAATATAATCCATATCCAGGCGTCAACATGTTCTTCTTCATCATATCAGTCTTCTGGAGCACAAGAAGATACCAGTTCATTTCATCTCGCTCGTGTTGGACTCGATGATGATGATCAGGCTAGCAATGGTTGTGCAAATTACAAGTGCATCAAGGTGCTTGATTTTCAAAAACACATCTTGTTCAAAGAACGGCTATTAGCCATTTGTAACCTCATGTTCCACTGGGTTCTCTTCCGTATCCCCTTACCTTTCGTACTTTCTCGTCCTTCCTTTCTTGTATGCGTATTTCGATTCACATCCTTTTTTCTTCTTTAATCTTCCTGCAAAGGTGGTTGGGTGATACCGCAGAGGTAGTGATGCTGGTCATCACAAGCATGATGCTAGTTCGATTCCGCTCTGGGCCAACCAAGCCCCTCATCCCTCCGAGGTCGGGAAATTGGTACCGGACTTGTCTGGGAAAAAAATCACTCTGCAATCCAATTGGGAGTGCTCCGGTCCGGCTTTCAGGATTCCGGGGAGAATTGCTCGACCAGCATTCTACGACATTCAAGATGAAATGAAAATCCTCAAGCACCAACCGAAGCCACACATAAAAGTTGGAAGAGATCTTCGTGGGCAATGGACTTGAGGAAACGAATCGAATATAAGAAGTGTTGTGATCCGCTCAGTAGACATGAAGACAGTTCATGTAAAATGAAAAAATATTTTTCCAACTGCTTTTGTCCTTCTCATTCTTTTTCTGTTTTCCACTTGTTTTGTCCTCTTTGCTTCTTTTTTTTCCTTCTCACGGAAGCTTTTTCTTTGCATACATTCTTGGATTAAAAAATCACCTTGAACTTCCGTAGGTTTTCCAAAGGTGTGTTCCTAATATAGCGTTGCTACGGTATCGGTCTTTTGATTTATACAGAGCTTTAATACGAATGACGTTGTTTACAGATTTTTAAGAAAATTCACCTTTTTTGATGATTACATCATCATTACATTAGGTTAGTGATTTACGGACTGCATGGGTTTTACCCTATTGAGGCATTTGCATTTAATTTATGTCTGATATTACTTTCCACTGCTTGGTTTCTGTCTGTACGAATCTCTCACTGGAGACGATCAGAAATTCCAAACATGGCTGCTCTTTCTTATTATGTATTCGCAATTAGAATGAGCGTTTTAGGTGAAAAATGGTGACCGAATGAGCGAATTAGTCTCGAGGGCGCTCGAAAAACATTTGCTGGACCATCAGGAGGGTGAATACTGTCTTGTGCAGTTGTTACCAAACGGAGGTTACTTCATTTCTATTCTTAGTTCTACTCTCAATACCGTATACTTGCAACGTTTTCAGACTGTGATTTCGTTAATTTGAAAAAAAGAGTTCAAAAATGTACCTATCACATTGACACTTCAGATGAATTTCAACTTCCCGACAAATGTAATCCTTACTATGCGATGGCTCCCGATCCTTCATCTACGATGCTGAATCTCTTATTACGGTGTGGTGATTTATTCTTTATTATTTTTGTACTATTGCGAGAGTTGAAATGAAAACGAAAAAAAGAAACTGTCGACATAGTGTCCTAGAATAATTTTCAATCTATGAAGTGTTACTGGGACTATATTTGGTGTCTGTCCAAACTTTTAAAATATGTTCTTATTTTAATACAGGCTGTTTTTTGCAGAAATCAGCAAATGAAGTTTTTCCGAATTTTATGCGTCATATCATGTTGTGACATCTTTTAGTTCTGCTGTTTTTCGCCATAACTGATTTGAATGTTTCTAGAAAGCGCAAGGATGCCTTTAAAGGTGACAGTATTTCGCCACATGTCGGATCATCAACGAAAAAGCTGAACAAAATGAAAAGGTCAAATCTCTTGCGATGGAGCAGCGGTTATTTGTAAACGGAGTAGTTGTGTTCTCAGTGATATTGGAAGTAGTAATAATAATGATTTCGATATTATTCTGTTAAATGAAGTTTGCAGAAAACTATTTCTTTCTATGCATACCTGAGTAGGATTCTGATACGTCATTACATGCTTTAAGGATACATATAATAGTTATGATAACTGTGATTGTAGTATTGGAAATAGTGATGTCTCTCTCTTCTATGTCGAACAGTATTAAAGTCTGCATTGGTTTGAGTTGTCTTTCTGTCCATTTCATCCTCATATTTCCCGTATAAACATGTGCTATTCACGGTATTGTGAGAACTTATGGGTACTGATCCAACTTTGTTCACTAAATTGACTACTATGTCTTTTTTAATTCCTCACTAGTAGGTACATTTCATCGTAGACGAGAATTTCTACACCGTTATTTCGACAATGTTTGTTAGCATCATGACTCGAAAGACATCGATTTGCTTCGCTCTTGCGATTGACTTGTGCAGTTGTTAAATGTTCTTCAGGCAACATTATGCTTGAAATTTCGATAGTTAATATATCATCCGTAGTCTCATTGAGAAAAAACCCTCGAGCTGTATGTGATTAACTTCTCTCAAAAACAGAATAAAGGGCCCCGAAGGAAAGATGAGATGCTGTTCATGTCCTTTGAGCTAGTGTAGACGATTGGACAGCCGTGGTGCGCGACAAGGACGAGTGGAGAGTTTGATGATTTTCTTTCTAGCCTTCTCTATTGATTAACGGGACGGCGATTAGAGTGAGTGTGCCCGTTGGTTGTCCATTGATTTTCCTTCAGACCTTGCTTCAAACTGCGATAGAAAGCTGAGGGGATAGATAGGGTGCAGTTGCTGTTTCGAAGATCAGTTAACACTTTAACGCTTAATTTTCTGTTGCAACGATAGCTAATCGGTCTATTTCTTTGCTTTGTGCACTGTGAAGTAAAATCAGCTAGTGTTGACAGGTTTGTTTTTCATGTGCTAGTCACATACAATTACCTCATTGGGAAAGGTCTATGTTTTGTTTTACCTATTTCGCTAAAGGCAATTCATTCGATGAGTGACTTATCGGAGACTCCGAGAGTTGCAAAAATATCTTAGTACTCGCTTCTGTAATACACTATCACTCTGCCCTCCTATAAAGGATAAAGCTGTCGGCGTTGATCCTTGAGGGATGCACCAGGCATTCGACTTAATCAAGCATCGTTGAAGGTTATTGAATGCATATCTGGCCTTTACAATCACTCGCGGTGGCCTACCGATATATTGAGTCAGTGCTGCTATCCTCCCAGACAAATCTGGTACCAATTTTCCGACCCCGGAAAGATGGAAAACTTGGCGAGCCTTGGACGCGAGGAGCGATACTGTACGTAGTGCAGGGCGCCTCCGACCACTGCGCAACACGCGTCCTGTATCAGTAGTAATCCTTCTAGATGAACGGATAAGCTTTCTCCAGAGTTTGTTGAACATTGTTAAGTGTAGGTAAGAACCTTCCTGGTGCCATGCCTGCTACACTGATCTGTGTTGAACAAACTGTGGTTTGAATACGGAAATATAGCAGTGAAACTCAGTGCGGCAAAATAAATGACTGGAAAGGAAGCTAGTTGGTGCCAGCTCACACCAGTCGATCTGCCAACGTATGACTGGAAATCAGGTAGTGTAATTGTCATGAGAAAAAAGACCTGGTGGAAGTGCTTCAGGGAGGGAGAGCATCAAATTTAATAAATGCGAAGTATTAAGTATTGGTTTGTAATGTGGACAGGATTTCTATACTGGGCTTATTGAGACACAGCAGTAAAATCTTTCCGTAAGAAAGGGTGGGTCCAACGCTGGCATCGAAGTCTACCTTATGAAATTGAAGTAGTTGTGAATGCTGACCAGAGACACATGTATTGTTTTATTGATAAGCTAACACGAGGGTGATAAATAACTTTGTTCGGCTAACGTTTGTCTTCGTGTTACTTAGACCCGATGGTACGAGTAGATGTCCACAGTCGTTCGCCTTTTCGATACACTGTCTTCGTCGTGGTATCGATTCGGATCTTCTTCAGTGGAGCATCGCTCGAATGAGGCATTTCATCAGTCGATGCTCTTGTATATAGGGCCGTTGAGGTTGATACGATTGTACGATGATAATAACTTATTTTTTCCTTACACTGTGGCCCCTAAAGATTATTCACCTCGATACGACGACGAAAACACCACATTGAGAGTACAAAGGACTGTGGACAGCGACTCGTATCATATGCTCTGAGAAAGACAAAATTAACCTAGCAAAGTTATTTACTTGGTTAACCGCCTGTTTCTTTATAGATGAAATAATACACGTTGAGATTAGTCATACCGAATTTAAGGAAAAGTCGCTTTTTGAAATATTTTCAAATTCATTAAAACCACATTTTGAGAGATATCATCAACCGCTTTGCTGATGACATCGTCCTTACAACACCAAACAATAGCCAGGCGGAACGTTTGCTTGACGACTTTGATAAAGCTGTGAAAAGATTGGTCTTCGACTAAATCTCATAAAAACGATGTTCATGAAGAACGAATTGGTTTCGCATACCCCATTCACGCTCAGCGGAACGAATTTCTCCGAATGCTCCAGTTATGTCTATCTAGGTCGGGAAATCAATATAATGAACGACCTAGCTCCAGAGCTGAGCAGAAGGAGACGAGCGGGTTGTGGAGAGCTTTCAAGAGCATCGAGGATATGATGAAGAGAACAAAGAATACCCAACTCTGTGCCTACCTTTTCGACTTAGCGGTGCTTCCTGTCCTAACGTATCCGTCAGAAGCCTGGTAGCTGCGTAAACATGTTAGAAAACCACTCAGTGTTATCGAACGCGCAGTAGGGACGATACTAGGAGTATCCCGTTCCACACAACTAAAGGATGGAATCCGAAACTCCAATCTGCGTCAACGATCAAAAATCAAAGACGCCGTTCTGTACGCCAAATAGTCGAAAATAAAGAGGGCCAGACACGTAATGCGCATGCATGACAACCGATGGACAGGAGCCGTTGTGACTGGATTCCTCGGGTTGTCAAACGTACTGCAGGAAGACCACCGACCCAATGGTCAGAGTTCTTCACAAAGAGCCTTAAAGAAAGATATGATGCTCGACGAGTCCCTAGAGCTAGCAGGACCCACTGGGATACTCTTGCACGCGACAGGGAAAAGTGGAAGATTTACTGGCGTCCGCTCGAGTCACTCGACGATCAACGGGACTACAGGTGATAGAGGTGATACCATCACTTCACAGGACTCGGGTGGCGCAGTGGTCGGAGGCGCCCTGCAACACACACGTGGAATCGAACCTCGCGCCTTTGGCCCACCAAGCCTTCCATCCTGCTGGGGTCGACAAATCCGTACCAGACTTGTCTGGTAGGATAGCAGCACTGACTCGACACACCGGTAAGCTGCCGCGAGTCATTGTAAAGGCCAGATGCGCATTCAACCACCTCCAACCATACTTAATGAAGTCGAATACAAAGCGCATCCCTCTGGGATTGATCAACGCCGAGAGCTTTATCCTTTATCCTTTTACCATGGTCTCTATCGCCTGTCGCCTCGTGGTGTGACTCGGGTTGTGCCCTTTAAATCTTCCATTTCTCTCTGTTGCGTGCATAAACAGCCAAGTGGTTTCTCTGGAGACATATTATGTACCATATCATTCTTTACGGTTTTTAGAGGGGATCCGAACATCCGGTTGGTAGTTTTCCTGCTGTGCGTTTGATATCCCAGGAAATCCAGTTGCTAACGGCTCTTGTTCATCGGTTGTCAATCATACGCATCACATGCCCGGCCCACCTTATTTCTAACAATCTGGTTTATAAAACGGCGTCTTTGATTTTTGACTGCTGACGTAAGTAAGAGCGTCGGATTCGCTTTCTCACTTCCGTGATACGAGATACTCCCAGTATCGTCCTTCCGACTGCATAACACTAAGTTGTTCGTCATGTTGATTTCTCTAACAAGATGGACGTAGCTCGACCATTTGGAGACATTCGCTCTATCGAACGTGAATGGGGCATCCGAAAGCAATCCGTTCCTCGTGAACATCGTTTTTGTGAGATTTACTCTAAGAACACTCTTTCCGCAAGTGTTATCGAAGTCGGCAAGCATTCGCTCCGCCTGAAGCTTCGACCAACCTGCTGCTCTTCTCTCTTTAAAATCTTCTTTTATCGTTTGTCTACGTTGTTTTGCAAGTTTGTATTGGTGGTTTCCTGTAGTTCGTCCGGTTCTACGGTAGCGTATTACCTGTAGTGTTTCCGGAGACAGACGTCTCTTCGTCACTTTCGAACTCTCGACTTCCGTAGCGCCAACGTGATGATGTCGAAGAGCCTGTCGCAGTTGTCGACGATGTTATCAGGAAGGACATCCCTAACAGTGAACTGGTGAACAGAATAGTTCCCAGTTTATGGTGGGTTTGGGACTTCGTTTTTGTACTTGGCGGGTTTTTCTCTTTTCCGCGAAGAATGAAATCTTGCTCGAGGTGTGTAGAATTTTGGAAAAACAACGATTTCGGATAGGCAAAGTCCGTGATTTACTATAATTGCACTATAATGCTCTCCAATGGGGTCTCCTTTCTAGTGTTGAGAGTGCGGCTTCCAGAATTAGAAGCTATCCTGAAGCTTGCTCGTTACGAAAAACGAGGACAGCCGCTCACCTTGTTCTTTCACTTTTTATCCATGAGTCCCATTGTGACGTTTTACAAACATTTCTCGGTCCATTCTTTTCATTGAAATCTCCAGTGATAATCTTAATGAATATGTGGCCTTTTCTGTAGAACTTCTCCAAGTCCATGTGGAACGCTTCGACTATGTCTTCGTTATAACTTAATTTTTGTGCTGTAACGACGAAGATTGGCAAAGCCGGTATTGATCCACATCTCTTCAATCACAAGCATCTGATTCAGGTTATTAGTTGTTTGAATGAAATTAGTGATGTTCATTACCAAACTCGTGTTGACGACCACGCCGACGCCGCCGACTCCTCTACTGTCGCATGTTCCTAGAAACTGTTCTTCTCGGGAGTCATGGACTCACGGCATTAAATGGGTGGCGTCTTCTCGCCTCATCAAGTCCGATGATATCGTACACTGTTCTTGTTTCCTGCATAATCAGTTTTTCTTCCAAGGACTTAGATGCAAATCAGCGTGCGTTGTAGGTACAAATTTTTCATGTGGAATAAAATATCGATTGAATAATGCACAGAATATAGAAAAGACTAGTATAGAGTCTTCTGTAATTTGATGATGGCCTATGTTTGTTTATCTGGGATGACAGCGAAATATTGTAGTCGTACAGATCCTGACGCCAATTCTTGGGATTATATTGTCTTTGAGCTGCTTCCAATAGCTTTTTTTGAATGACAACTTTAACTTATTATTTACTGCCTACTCTTTTTAACGGCAGGGTATATATTGCGAAATATAACTTTAATGATGCTAGTATTTGCAAAACTCCGGACCGCCAGGGATAGGTGAAACGAAGGACCCGCATGGTGTGGTGGTGAACACGTTACTCCCCGGAAAGGACAATAGCGCTTTCGTTCCTCACCGCAGACACCTGCGGTCCGGAGTTTCGCAAATATCTCAGCATCATTAAAGCTTTTTTTTGCTCCAAAAGATGTAAATCCTCCTGTGGTAATCTCCTGCGCCTGGCATTTATTATCAGGTGTGATAGCTGTGCTGCAGTGGGTTCAAGCATCTGTTTCTTTCTCTTTTTGAGCAACTCCTTAGCTCCAATGGGGATGTGTTTTGAACGTCTGTTGATATTCAGTGTGTAGTGTCGGTCGGTTATTCCTTTATCTTCCAACACGACTTGCCTCATTGTTTTGAACATTGGCACGAGTTTTTTTCAGCTTTTGGCTGAATAGTTTCCATATGGAGAAGGCGGTGATCGTATCCAGTACATATTGTTGGCGCCACTATGTCATATAGGCACCATCTTCTGCTCTTGAGAATGTGGTGGGTCTACGTGGAAGCCGTGCCGTTAGGATACTCCCATTTCCATTGGCAATTTCCACTCTTCTCTAAAAATGAATCGCTATAGGAGAGGGCGTGCTGCGGATCCGAATCCTGCGAATCGGACTCCATTATCACTTTTGTATTCCGAAATTTGCTATCCTATTTTCATAGTCGTTGTCGATTCATCTTCTGGCATTAAAGTTTCCAGCAACTAATTTATAGAAAGGCTGTTCATTTTGGATAAAATCCTCTGCTTGCAAAACGCGTCTGGCTCTGTCGCATCAGTTGCAAAATTTAATGAGTAGTACTTGATGATAAAGGCTTTCGCTGACATTGAGGTTGAAAACGAAGAAAGGCCAAGCGATGTGATACAATCTCATATGGGGTGACTTGAATGAAAACAGATGGGTGTCCGACAAAGCCACCGCCAGCGATACTTCATAACGGAATTTCCTCAACTCGAATGATAAGGTCCTGTCTTCTAATTAGCATATGTCGGTCTTCGTTTTTTGTAGGGTGATAACATGGAATTAGATGAGGCCAGTGGCCTCAAAAAGAGCGTCCGGAGCGGTCTTCATGGCATATCGTGGGCGTGTTAGTTTGGTCCAACCACAGCTGGATTATTGCTGGTTCAACGCCTTGTGGTTTCCTGAATTCTCAAGATCAACTTGGCTCGAGCTTCGTCCAGTCGTCATCATCACAGTCAGCCGCTGGCCCTTGTGGATCAAGGTGGGAATTGAGGGAGGTGGGGGAGGAGCGGTTGGGGGGATATTTACCACCTTGCTAATAATTTGATGCAGGATGACGGTGACTTCCTGTGTTTGTTTCCTCCTAGCTGGGTTGCGGGCCCCGAAACACGTAATGAGTCTAAACAACCGATGGACAGCAGCCGTTAGAAACTGAATTCATCGGTATGTGAAACGCAGACCAGGAAAACCATCGACTCAATGTTCAGAGTTCCTAACGAAAACCGTTGAAAATCATGTGTTGTTTAGCGAGTCTCGAGAGCAAACAGAACCTACTGGGCTGCTTTCCTAGGCGACAGTAACAAATAAAGATTTTGGTGGCGTTCACTCATGTCATTTGGCTATCAACAGGAAAACAGGCAATGGTGACGGAGGTGATCATAATAGCTAACTCTGTGTCACATAGAGAATATCTTGTGTATTCTGCGTTGTTGTGTTAAATATCGCTCAACACAGAAATAGGAAATGATATCCAGTAATTGGTCATAAAGATGTGGACCTACAATAATATTGTCACTTTATTCGAAACTTTTTACCATCAAAAGTATTTTTGTACGTCCATATACGTATGTATGTATGTATATATGTATGTCTGGATATATGTATATGTATATATATTTATACATATTTTATGCTTGAATGTAATGTTCTTTGAAAATTCGATTCGAGAGGATTTATAAAATGAAAGTAGATAAACGACAAGAGGAAAAAAATAAAGGCAAGAAAAGTGTCACCCGTATTAGCGGCAGTATTTTTCATAGTAGTTTCTACGTAATCTGCTTAGAAGGCGATCCCGTTTTGGTACAATACTATAGAGAAAAGTAGTGCAAAACGAATCGTTTCCTAATAACCTGACTTAAAATATAAGAAAAATTCGTGGAAGAAATGCATAGATCACAAGGTAAGAGAACACTTCCTTAGATATGTCTGCTACACGTGATTAGAAACGTCCCTCCTGTAAAAGGGATAAATTCGGGCATGGATTTCTGGACATAACTTCCACGAATATTCGAAATTTTAGAACGAAGCCATCACCCTTGCAAAGCACTCAGAAAACTGGATATGAGCATGCTATTCTTGGGAGAAAGAATAAGTGCTTTACCAAAACACGGGATATCAAGGATAATCTGATGAGAATTTTAACATATTATTAGGATGATCTGCCGTAGTGAATAGCCACAATTTGAATTTGATAATCTTAGCGATGACATGTTGTTTGCACTGACGACAACATTTCGGCCAAGAGAGACGAACCCACTACGCCACCGACTCGTCGGGTGATTAAAAAGTTTTGGCAAGATTGCGCCAAAGATCTGAAAGTAATAATCATATAGAACATTAAAGGGGACATTTTTTTAGAAATCTAAAACGCACCTGAAAACTGTTTTCTCTTAATGGAATGCTAAATTTTTAGGTACTATTATTTCTGCTGTTGAGCAGATAGGATATTTCACCTAATATATTCGTTTACGATACACTAATAACACAGTAGATTTGTTAAAAAAGCGGGAAAGAACCAACGCACACACCCTAGGCTTACTAATGAAAGTTCAGTGAATTTGAGATAAAAAATTTCAAATCATAGACAGTTGTGCATTTTGTTCTTTTTCATTCTAAGACGCTGCGGTCTAATGAGCAGAGGCAGTGTAAGAACAACGCATGATTGTTTAAATGTTTGCAGCCAAAAGTAAAAAGGCATTCATTGTCATGATCACCTATACCATCTGTTGTCCCGTTGCTTGTCAAGTGACTCGGCTGGGAGCCAGTAATTCTTCGATTTTTTCTCGTCGTGTGCAAGAGCAAAGCAATGGGTCATGCTCTCTCTAAGATCTCGTTGAGCATCATATAATCCTTGTGTGGCGTTTGTGAAGAGCTCTTACCATTAGGTTGGTGGTCTTTGCTGGGCGTGTGATATCCCGAGGAATGTGCAAATAAAAGACATGAAGTGTGACCGTTTTCGAACAAAAAAAGATCATATTGGCTTTTTTGCATCGGGCATCGTCTATGATCCGGACGGATATACAGGGAGAAACTGGTTCATTATTGCTCTTATTCAAAATAACTTGAAGGTGAAAATAACCAGTTTTCCCAGAATGGACCTCAAATGCACAAAGCACGGAATGAAGTGAAATCATAGGATGGAATCTTTCATAAAGAAAATAATTTCTTAAAGTTAAATTGCAGTAGACCATATTGTGGAACTCTTAAAGAACCATTACAAAACAGAAGTGGTTCACTTTTAAAGCCATGGGCCTCGTTCTATTCGGAGATGTGAGATTTTCACACTTTTAGAAATGACTTTGGAAGTGTATGCAATTATTATATGTTATAAGGTCTTTATTTGGAAGTATCATGCATTAATAAGTTGTGTAGGATATGATGGTTAAAGACGCCTAAATCTTACCTGATTCGAAGGAAAGCTGTGAATTGTGGTAAAAGCGCGACATCCGAACCTCGATATTCACTCCAACATCTCATAAGGGAATTCCTTGCGGTTCGAATTAAAGACCGATTTCCGACACGGCATTCGCCTGTATATAATCATAAAATCATTAGCACTTCAAAGTAGAGTTGTTCGCAGTGTGATTAGGGCACTTTTCGCATCTTAGCGGTTTCTGTGATGTGGGATTACAGCAACAAGTCAATTGAATGGTAAAAGACGGTATAACTGGCCAGGTAATCGAGCTTATGAAGAACAGCCAACGGTAAACTTTAATATTCAAACGGAAAAGAATGACGAAATAGAATAAAGATAAACATCGTGCATAATGTTCTGGTATCGAATTTCTGTATCTGTCGAAGATGGTGAAGTGATTGGAAATTCGCTCGTGATGGGTCGAGAAAGGAAGCATTCATCTATCAGTAATTCATATTCAAACAAGTTTGCGGATTAAATCCACGTTCACTTTTATAAGAGCTTTGGAAGCTGACTGCATGGTTCTCGAACACGAATGGTTCTTTATATTTTTGGCCCCTATAAAATGCCCAATTGCACAAGAAACATGCTATGTCGCTAATAATCATTAGGGAAACACCTACCGTCTTCGTGAAACAATGCGAGATATCGAAAAGCAGCTAAATCGACTCTAGTAAATCCCCGACTGGCTAGGAGATGTACAATGTCAGTCCATAATGCCAGTAACGAGCAATCGCCCATTACAGCGGCCAAACCAGAAGGAACTCTGTAATTATCAGCCTTGAAAACACTTTTGAGTGAGCCCGACTGAGTAGTACTGACGTTTCGCTCTTTTAATTCGTTAGTAATGAGCGATTTGTCTAATTCGGATTTCGGAAGTTAAAGTTCAAGCTTGAAAACTTGCTCAACAGGTCGATAGAATTTATAGTTGGTAAAGACATCCAGTTATTGACGTTTTCTTCATGAGGAGATACTAGCTTGTTATGATAGATATGTTCAAGATTGGGCCACGTTCCGACAATTATGCTTACTTCGGATTCTTGAAAAACAAATTGACATGCAATATATACAGTCAAACACTTTCATTATCCTAGAAGAAAAGCAATACTTAAATATGGGTTTGTGTCAGATACATTCCTTACCTATGTAGGACTCTGTACGGACACCCTTTCATCAATGAATGGAAAGACTTATACGGGAAATGTTTGAAAAGAGCTGTTTTTAAGTCTTTCTACTGTGATTGTGAAAATGCTTGATTGAGTAGATTTTGTGTCAATTTAACCTTAAAGGATAAACGATTAAGCTTCTGGAATTGATTAATCACTAATTCCTTCAACTTCATTGCACAACGTTAGAGGTGATTGAATGCGTATCTGGACTAAACAATGACGCGCGAAGGCCTACTGATGTACCGGTCCAGTGCTACTGTCCTCGCAGACGTGTCTGTCGCTATTTCGTAGATCCTAAAAGGATGAAAGGCTTGGTGAGCCTGAGGGACGGGATCGAATCCAAGTGTATTGCAGGGTGCCTTGACCACTGCACTACACGCGCTCCAATTTAACCTTACTCCATTGTAATCAGCAATAAGTATCACAAAGTGAATCAAGCGACTAACTCAACTCCGTTGTTCATCTTGATACTGGCTGGTATAGCTCCAATCACAGCTGCATAGACAAAGTCGGCAATGTGTACAGCTGCCCAACTAGCATGCAAAAGCTGCATCTGATCGGCCAACTAAAAGCCATTATAGCGATTTCTCAAAGGAAGGAAATGTTCCCTATTTGGGATAACGCAATAACAATAATTTTTGTACTATTTTTGAATAGATTCGCTATTATTTATACAGATTAATAGTAATTCGACATAGCATTGGTAGAATAATATAATGTCGATTCGTGATAATTCACACATAACCTCAAGCTCTCGAAAATATGGTGCAGCTTTAGCCCAAGCAACAAGTTGCCCGAGATTATCCTCGACAGCCGATACACAGAAAGAAAACGGATCCCATCTTGGCCATTTATGTAGTAAGCAGTACAGCCTTAAAGCATTATGTTTTTAGGTTAACGTTATAGGATTCTGAAGAGGCTTTATATCGGAAATCTCTACGTTTTATTTCTTCAAAAACAACACGCAGATCACTAAGTGAATTAACCAATAAGATTGAAAGAGTAACATAAAGTGCTGAGAATTTCTTTCTTGACTTTTGCAATACACTTTAATCTTTTGATCTGATGTCGCTTAGGTTTAGTTTTTTGAGCTCATAATGACGATGCCGAATTTTTTTGCTTCACTCTTTCACGATCATGCGCACTACGACACAATAACAGGTTGTACGATAGGCCAGCCACACGAAAATGCCCAGGTTAGTGAAAGGGTAGAACTATTTGTATTGCAGAAACTGTTTGGTGCATAACGCTGACAAAAACCTCTTGTCTTTTTCACGCAGATGCATTACTTTTTGATTATATAGCACCTTCACGACCTTTTGTAGCAAATCTATGGTTTGTTGAGGGCAGATTTCATACTGGGGTGGTCTATGGTTAGGTATTCTCTGCTGTACTTGCAGAAAGCCGTTTCGGACGGTGGAAAGGAATCGGTGGGTAGAAATAGCATGAAAAAGACGCAGAAATATACCTCAACGATCGCAAAACCATGCAGAAGGCTAGTAGCATCACGGTTAGGTAATAGACGAATTTTTTTAATCACTCGCAAGAGTTAAATCATACACACAGGAGGTGTCCAAAAAAATGTGGACATGTACAAAAAAACATAACGGATATATGGAATCTAAAGAGACATGGGAAAATGTGAGGAAACCGAATTGAACGATAATCAAATGAAACCAGCGCGTTGTTCCTCTTGCGTGGGCTGACGGACCGTATATCTTCATTTCAATGCATATCTCAATAGCCCTTCAATGACACACTTTCGTGAGAGCGAAATGTGTATTTTAACAATGTGGGGTATTCACCGAAAGAAAGTAGAAGGACAAAAACAAAGAAAAAGGAGAAGAAACAACAAAAAAGGGAATGTGAACACGCGATTACGCTTACTTGCGGCATACGTGCTATTCACCACCTCAACTGAGGCCTTTGCTTTGATTTCCTCTTAGCCATGTTTTTATTGCTGATAGCACCGCTTTAATACAGTAGAAACATAGCTGAGAGAAAGGCGAGGCAGGCCCCTTGGTGTGCTGGTTTGCACGTGGGTCCTCGGTAAGGGTAATTGCAGGTTCGAAGTCAAGTTGATGTTCCGAGTTTTGCTCATATCTCAGTATCCTTTTGGTTGCATTTCAAGTAGAATCCTGTCATAAAGAAGAGTAAACTTGAAATAAAAAGATAAAACCCGAAGAGGAGCATAAGGACACCAAAGTAAATGGAAATTTTGAAAACGGTAAGAGTTTTGTTATGATGCAAAAAAAGGCTTGTATGCCGTTTCGTGCTTTTTGTTCTATAACAGCGTCTGACCTTGAGTCGTCAGGCAACGAATCGTGCATTATTGCAAGTGTAGACGATGTGCATTCGAATTCGTTGTTGACATGCTTCTCAGACGGTGTGAAACAAACCGGGAGAATGCGGTTCCCACGACTGAATGCTCCTTAAAATGATGTAAATGATAAATGGTGCCACATCGGAGAAAGGCTGCTGTAAGCATGGATCATGCTAAATAAAAGGCGGGTGAGAACATTCGGTCAAACCAAAATTACGATTGGCTTTTCCATTTTGGTTTGTAAATATTTCGTTTCAGCTGATCAATATTGTAATTTCAGCAACGGATTATAACCCAAGCCCCTACATGGCTATGTGCTTAACACACAGTCATGGACGACTAAAGTTGTGTGGCGGTCGCATAGGACGAAATTTCTATTTTCAGAGTACGGTCATCGTATCCCTCAAAAAGCGACACTTCGAGTAACCTTCTCATTAGCAACAGTATTATAACGTTATTTAGACGATAATAAAGACGAGAGCTCGCCGAGCGATTCAAACGTTTGTGTTTGGTCAACAAAGTGATGCTTTGATACTTTAACTACTTCTAGTAATCTTAATGTCTCAAAGATATCTATCTGCTTGGTCGCTAGCACAAGTTGTAACAGCACGAAAAGAGCGAAGAATGACGTTTTCCTTTGTAATTTATTAGCTGAAGAAAATCGTTTTACTAGGACGACGTCTGGCGCAACTGTAGGTGCCAGGCTGTGAAGTGGACACAAAAATTGTGCAGCAGTAAGCTCTCTGTGACAAAATAAACACCGGAAATAAAACAAATCACAAATGAGTAATAACAGCTATGCTGTGCCGAAGTACAAATCAAGTGATTCAAAGCGTTGCGTATGTTCCAGTTTAGGGTAGCCGCAACAAGGATTTAATCACTTTTCGTGGAACGGTCCCTAATGTATACTGCTTTCCCGTCTATGAAACAACGCGTTCCCACCGCAATCGTCCAAGTGATCAATGCACATTTTTTTACGCAAGTACTTTATGAATATGGAGAGCAGCCACACACTGAAGAGGAAAGAAGTGGCTAGAGTCCCTGTTAGTGGTGGGAATTTCTACCTGCGGACAACTTTTTAAAAATGTCCCGAGATCAAATGTATTCCAGTGTACGGATCGTGGTACTTCTTGATTTGTTTCCTCGCATCCACTATCCATAAAGGTCTTCGAAGTTTTCAATGTATGCTTTGCCTGCTGAATGAGGCAATTTTCGTCTTCTACACGAATTTCATTGAACGCTGGCCGAGTCTAATCTTCTTGACATCGAGAGATAGTCGTGTTGGGCGTTCGAACACGGCTAAGAAAGAGTGGCCTTATGAGGCCAAGCCTTGATGGACGCCGGAGTGATGAGAGGCTTGGTGGGCCGGAGTCGGGTGCAAACCAGCTCCTCTTTGGGTTGGATCGACTTATTTACCCCATTTTCTGCCAATAGCAGGGTTCGGAATTAACGACATCCGTGGAAGCAGAGCAGTAAGAAGTAGATATCAACTTATCTTTGATGGACAACGCGAAAATGAAATGCATGCGAATGATTACTTTTTCAGTGAGGCGTAGGTCAATCAAGAGTGGGACTATTTGGTTGAAAACGTAGCAAATGCAAGAACGAAGATTTGAAGTGAGGTAATGGTTAGCTCTCATCCTGATCATATCCTACATGTTCGATTCGAAGCACTTTCTTACGGATTTCTAGAATAAGCTCGATTTCTTTCAACAAGGGGTGGTGTAGAGCGGGTTAACAAGCTCGAAACACTGTTCCTATTCATCGATATGTTTAAAAATATGTGATGCCATTAATACCTACCAATGAATTCAGCTTTTTGGTGGCAGGATCTGCTGGTTTTGACGAACAAATAGTCACTTAGCTCCACTGATGAATAAAAGAGATACTTTTTTTTCTAGACCTTCTTTTGGCAAGCTAACATGCCTTTTTGTTCCGCCAAATGCATGCAATATGTCAGAGAGGACTCTATTAAATACTGAAAGCGTCACGAAGTAAGCCAAATCACAAATGTGTGAATGTGAGTTCGCAACATCTGTCTCCAAAGTGCGGTACTCACAGCAATTCGCCGAAAAAATATTCTCGAAAATTTTGTGGCTATTTGACCAAATCAATAAAAGTATGATGGAAGTAACGCGATGGCTAGAGGGGCCCTGCAATATGCGTGGGCTAGAACCAGCGCTCCAGACTCACTATGTCTTCCATCCTTCGGGCTCAGCAAATTGGTACTAGGCCAGTGTGGAAGAATAGCAACACTGGCTCGATACGTCGATGGGGCTCGGCAACGCATTGCATAAACAGGTATGCACTCAATCACCCATAACGATGCTTAATGAAGTGAAGCACATGGCGCGTCCCTTAGGCCCTTCATTTATGATGTTGGCTAATCGTCACTAAAAATGAAGATTAGCATTGTGTTCATCAGAAGAGAACAGTCCACATCAGCACAACACTCCACTTATCATTCGCCTAGGCGGAGACCACTTCAGTCAAAGTCGTATAAAAACAATGTCGTAGAGATTTACATTGAATTAGGAATTAAGTTAATCCTAGAAAGACCTAACAGATGATTTCTGATGATAATTTTAAATTAATTAATTGACAAATTTTCCGCACAGAATTTACCCATCCTTTGTGAACTATTCCATTCATTTCAAATCAGCATCAAAAATGTTTAAATTAAATGAGCTCAATTCGCTACCAAGTGTCCATTTACGTCTGAATGCTCCGCAGTAGTTGTTACAGAACATCAGTGAGTTAAGGGACTAGTTAACACGTTAGACCGCTAATGAAATTTTTCCATGGGAATATGGATATAAAGTTAATTCTCGTAAGCCGTAGAGAAGAAGCAGACAGAATGCCGCGTTGGGTAATCTAACCCTTGGGAAAAAAATCTACAGTAGAGTAATGTTCTGCGCTTCGTTAACGTGTTCAACCAAACATCGAATTAATATTACTGACCGACTTTCTCATCATCGTTCTGGCTTTTCGATAACTGAAAATAATGTTCAGTAATACGTTTTTCGCATGGCTCGACATTACATATTGCGCCGATTCTATCACTTCCAGCATTTCTTTTGTTCCATCGGCCCAATCATCGAAGAACGACTTCGAAATTGCGTGTGACACAGCTGTTACTTGGAAATTTTGCATCCTTTTAATTAATATGGTTGTATGCTGCTCGAGTAGATTTTCGAGGAAATCCTAGAATTGTCGAGCCAAAGTGTTTCTTTGTCTTACCAATCGAATAAAGCTTACCAGACTACTCTAGTACCAACTCCCTGACCCGGGATCCATGGGAGGCTTATTTGGGACGATGGAATATCGAGCCTCGGCCTTGTACGCATTAGACGGTGCCACTACCCTTGCGCTACTTTTCTCCCCTTTTCCATTAGCAATAAGAACTTGATAACTTGACAACCACACAGAGTAGCATTGTAAACCGACTTTCATTTAACCTCGGTATGAATAATCAATGTGCCTTGCTTCATTGATCAACGAACATGAGGTTGTTGCCAATATTTATTCGGATGTTTAGACGTCTTCGTCTTCCACAGAGACGATGCTCCAAGTCGATGTCCACAGTCGTTCGTCTTGTCGACGAAGACGTCGAAATCTTAGCCGAATAAATATTGGTAACAACCTCATGTTAGCTTATCAATGAAACAACCTACAGAGTAGATTCTGCTGTCCCATCCTAGTGGAGTGGGATATAAACACAATTTTCTCGAAAAATATTTTAGCTATACAACCACAATGATGCTGAGATATATGCAAAACTGGAACAACAGGATCGCTTCGAAACCGCTATTAACCTTTCCAGGAGCCCATATGAACATATCATAAAAGCTCTTGCCTTGTCCTTCTATCGGCCAGTTTTTTACACTAACGGTGCCATCTTCAATCACCCGTCATTGGGAATGATCTGGTAAGCACAAATCGGCATCAAACACCGTTTAGCTGAGGCTGCGGTGGAAATAACCGTTTGAGTAAAAAAATTTGACTAAGAGAAGGGCTAACCAAGGGCTTAGGTGATGTCGTGGGTAGCATATGAGCCCCAGGAAAGGATAGTCGCATAGTCGAAGATAACCTGAAGTGAGAGTTGTTAAAAGATGTCAGCATTGTTGTGGTTGTATTTCACACGATAATTGCCATGAAAAAGTGTTAAATAGCAAATAGAAAGGTAAACACTGATTTAGACTGCAGTCTCAACTTGACTGGGTTTAATGCCGACTTTTCCCCAGTGTCCTGAAACAAACACGTTGCCTTTTTGGTTCGATGCTGTTCCCTGAGCTCTCTAAGCCTTCCTCTCCTCCAGGACCGATAAATCGTCACCGGACCTGTTCGAGGAGATAGCAGCACTGACGTGATACATCGGTAAGCCATCGCAAGCCATTTTATCGGCCAAATATGCATTCAACAGCTTCTAACAATGCTTAATGAAGTTGAATACATGGTGCACTTCCCAGAGATTGTTCAATGCTCAAAGTTTTATCGTTTATCCTTTATGCTGTTCGTCATGCTATGCTTTATTACGTAAAAAATCGCCAACGAAGTCCAAATAAATATTTTCAAAGAAAAGAATTGATTCTTAAATTTTCAATGTGAATCAACTTATAGCATTTTTCACTGGAAGATGTTCATTAGAAAGCAGTTTTAAAGTGTTAACGAAACAAAAGCTTGGTTTTCACGAGATCGTCATTGTCACGAGGCACAAATGATTTTCTTGTGAAGCTAGTGTAAGCTTGCGTACCTTCATCAACTGGATGGTTATGATGCAATAGGCGTTGTGTGAATGCTGCATTCGTCGGGTCGAACGGCTCAGATTTAATACGGTAATTTGGAAAGTCGATTGAACGTCCAAGCAAGTCGGCCAGGCCTTCGCTCTCATATGCAACCGTTGGTCTTGTTGTTGCTGATGCCGAAAGAGCTACATCGTTACATGCTCATTCGGTCATCCTCAGTGTAAATCCCTCCCATTCATAACCTTTTTTCAGCTAACTCGCATTAAATTGCATATTAGTTGGTCGTTAAAAAAAGAAGTGGATCGGTATCTGTGTATAATAACAATATCTTCTACTGCGTCGATCATTTGAGAGAGATCGACAGTAGCATTTCTCACTTGTGATCCAACAGACATAAATAGCAATAATAAAGCAAAAGCCAAAACACAATCGTAGTATAACAAGGATGGCGACCGTAGGAGGTAGGTATGATTTCAAAATTTGTACTTACCGTGATAAGCTGGTGTGCTACTAGAGAGTGTTAGACACTGTAGTACGGAATCATACTCAGATTTCACTTTTCGTTTATCGTCTCCATAGAGTGCTACAGTTGGCTTGGTACTGAAACATTATATCTTCATGAAATCGTAAGGAAATCAGCGCAAAATTGGAGCAGAAGTTAATCATATGCGATCTTTTTTGAATTCTCATCATGCATTTTACTTGAATTCAAGCATATAAATTTGTCCGCCTAGAAAGGTTACCAAAGCCGAAAATTCCAAAATTCTACACGGAATCTCATCTCGGATTAAACCTATACCGGCAATCACTGGTGTTTCTACGGCAACTTAATTTGAAGGTGGCAAACCTTCCAATTCACAAATGCTGGCAGGTGCCAGCTCATGGCGAAAACCCGAACTCCTTTACAGTACGATCTTAGTATTTTGCTTAAAAAGAGCTGCCAAATCGGTAAAACGCCTATCAAGTGGAAGCCGTGTCGACGTTTATCCAATAATCATTGAATCCCCAATCAAATACAAATATTAATTTGTGCGACAACAAACAGTATTTCCTCCTAACGATTTACCGCGTCAATTCAACCTTGGCAGGGTCTAGCAAGCTGAGGAGCCCCGCTTATCCATCAGAAATCCCAGATAAGAATAAGCCAATAACAGGACCCTCTCTCTTCTGATCCACTAGGACGGCAACTGCCTGTGGTAGTGACGACCTCAAGCAGACTTTTGCCTGGCCGACTTCGAGACTCCAGGCAACCACGATGAACCAGGAAAACTCCAAAAAATTTGAGATTATACTGGGTTCCGCACAATCAGTGAGGACGCCCATCCAAGTATCCAAGTAAGTAGGTGCTTCAGCTTTAAAGTGTAGATAGAAAGTTGTATCAGAAGATTTGAAAAATAAAATAGCAACAGTTCCGAAAAAATGTAGCTCAATTATATGAATCTTAATTTAGAAAACGTGGCTCGAGCAGTTGAATACGGTTGGGAGCCTCAGTTTTTATAGGCTTCTACTTCAAAGTACGGTAATTATTCAGTCATAAAATAAACGCATAGTTCATCGTTAAAGTTTCTAGAAAACTTTCCGATGATTGTTAAGTAATGATATTTGTTCCACCTGCTTGTGACACTCTGCTCCATTCCTGCTAAATCTGCAGCAGTGTTCTCCTTTAAGGTACCGCGCTGCATTCGTTGTGCGCGATCACGTTTATAGTATGAGCCGAATTTGTTTCGACCTCCTCTCATTCGATCCTCTCGAACAGCTGAAACATAGATTTTATCAGGATATAGCTGCTGATAATAATTGCCTTTCCCATGATTGACTTCGAATGATTGGAAAACAAATGGAAACTACATCTGTCAACTAGCAGTGAGTTTGAGAATACACATATTGACGACACTGAAATTCATCAGAGCGATTACTAGTAGATTGCGTTAATATATTGGCTTAATTTTTTAGTCAATAGTTCACAATGTGAAGCAGTGGCCAGGCTTTGTTAAAATCTGGGACTGTTTTTGAATCTTGTGGAGTAATTTCTTGAGATGGGAGCGGCTAGCGCATAGATAGTGATGCCGTGCAACACGTACTAAGTAGTGGTTCGACTCTGCCCTGGGGACATCAAGCTCTTCTCTTCACTATAGCGAAACTGGTATTACTCTTATCTAGAATAAATCGACTCATTCAATCAACATGGGAACCGCTTTGCACAATAGGATTGTAGGAAAAAATCGGTTAGCGTTAAATGGAATTCGTGACAAACAGCAAAAATCCTGAAGCAGGAGCCGAACCTCCACGCAAAAGTTTGAAACGCTTCATAGATGATGGATGTGAGTAAGCGACCTGAAAGTAAGATTTGCCACGATCCACACAATACACTTGAAGACGGTCGGGGTCGTTTAAAACTTTCTATTTAAAATTTGTTGCTTTCGGGATATATTTAATAGAAACGAAATCCGTACAGGTAATAATATAAAAAATGGTCCAAAAAGCAAATTCGAACGAGTTGTTAGGGAAGACATGGAGAGAAAAATTATACAGAGGTAATATGTGCTGGCCATTTCAATTTGGTTATCTTAGTCGAAAGCTGGTTGGCCAAGTGAATAGGATTTAAACAAAGACCGCGTGCCCTTCAGTACATCCCATACCACTGCGTTACACACTTTCTTCGTTAAATGTTTCTTTAATGGATGCTCGTTTCAAATGGTGGTGAGATTAAATCACTACAGTTTTTGCAACAAGATTTAATCAAGCGTAATTGACATGTCTAAAATCTGCACGATGGGAAAAAGATGGACATTTCTAGGAAATGAGATTGCTCAACGTAGATCACTTACCACTGTCCGGTTTTTTCCTTGTAGAAGGGACAACTACCAGTGGCATCATTTTCAAAAGTTCCAGTGGTACAAAACGTAAGTGACTGCTCGTGATTAATTTTCTGCATACTACATTCTGCCGATGGGTGACGTGTGATTGTATGATAGTCAGTAAGAAGGACCAAGTACTGGAACTCGTAGCACGTCAGGGAATCTGTCGAAAGACAAGAGCGCTAAGACACGCTATACAGACGCACTCTACACGGAACCTGTTTCCAAACGCCGATTTCCAACGTTTCGCGAACCCACTCGATGCGCAGCCTTGTGAGAACCGCGTACGCGATGAAGAGATAGGAAGCATTCAAGCTTCAATCGGCAAGTGAGCAGCGGAGCATATTGACATTATCACTGCAAATGTGAGGAAACGTCAGCGGTATTGATCGGATCTTATGGAATAACAGAAATGACAGCAGAAAAACACATTGCAAGAATTTCTCACTTAGCTCATACGTATTTCATTTTCTCAGCAATTTTCACGCTGGGAGGGCACGTTGCCGTACATAAATGTGGGCGTCATAAAACAAAACAATAAGGGATGAAAGTCTTTGCGTGGATCAAACCCTAAGGGATGCGTCAATTATCGACTTCATTAGGCATCGTTAGAGGTGACTGAGTGCATATTTGCTTTATACAATGAGTTTCCATTGCTCACCGATTTATCAGGTGAGTCTTGTTATCCTAGCAGACGTCTGGTGGCAGTCTGCCTTGCCCAGAGTGATGGAAGCTATAACGAACTCAGAGCGAGGGAACGAACCAACAACCACATGTGTACTTCAGGGTACCTACAGTTAGTTCATTATACGCGCCCCACTCGAACCAAAGTTACCCACAATTTTCTTAACAAAATATGTAACCAATATATTGCTGAGATATTTGCAAAATCGGACCTCAGGCCAGATTCGAGTCCACGATTAGCCTTTCCGGGTGATCACGTGCTACCCACTGGACCACTTAGGCCCCTGTTTGTCTTTCTCTCAGCCAATTTCCTACCTAACGGTGCCATCAGCAATCACCCTCCAAAGGGAATGATCTAGAGAGCACAAACCGGCATTAAACCTAGTTATGCCAAGACTACAGTCGAAATCACAGTGCTCGCTTTTTAATCAGTTGTTAGTTTCGTCGACTTTAAAGAGTAGCTTCTTCTACATAGAGGCACTAATAAGTGTTTCGTCAGCAAAAAAGAAGACCAACCATCTGGAGAAAGAACGATGCCAACAGTCGTTATCATGCATGCAAGCTCCAATTTTCTTAGGAGCGAAACACATATCGTCGAAGATTCGGCGAATGAAAGGAAAGGAAAGAAAAAGGTTCATTCCTTGTTTTCGAAATATCAACAAGCTCTAAGAGTGAAATTAGTGAAGAGAAGGTAATGTCCCACCAAACACAATTTAAACTGAATAAAGAAGTCTGTGAAAAGACGACAAATAAGCTACACCATCGTAGAAAGGGACCACAGAACGACATCATCCACATAACTATTGCATAAGTGTAAGGTTTAAGTTGTAAATTACCTCATTAGGTTTTTCTGTTAAATTTTCGCCTTGCCGTTAGGATTTTAGAGATAAGTGCACCATCAAGAATAAATCTGCTGGTAAATACTTCGAATTATAAAAAATTATTCATCACAGTGGAAATATACGCTATTCTCTTAGCACTGAATTTATAAGGTGTGTACCTTTATGGTGCGAGAAGCGTCATCAACTCTCACCGCATCAATACACGTCTCCATCGATATTTCGCAATGTCTACGGAAGAAATATCAGTTAAAAGTGCGCAACCTCTTGGAATCTGTTTGCATTCACATTGCTACAGGGCATTCATTCATTTTAGCCATAGGCTTCGTCTGCATGGACAAACAATTCTGTTAACATTTCTCGCTCAGAAATCCGTCGCTTTTTCTTAAAGATTGGATAAGAGCGATACTCGGCGGCCTTAATGGAGTGTGTGAAAGAAATGAACTGCGAACAATCGAAAAAAACACCACTTGGTTATAGGAACCGTATACCTTCATCCAACTGGGCTGCATAATGGAGATAGACGACATCCTTGAAGAAAAACTAGAATGAGACGCGATGAGTGAGATAGAAGTAGATTGTTGCTGTTCTCATAAATTGTGGGTCTATTAGAAAGGGCAGCCCCTAAAGTGCAACGGAAAACACTTTTGTTTACATGTCTAACTTATACCCCTCACCAGTGTTCTAGAATTCCCTAAAATTTGAATCAACACTTACTGCGTGCATCATCTAAAGAATACTAGCGTGCTGGTTAGGATTTACTACGTGCATTCGACAACAATTTTCCGGCTAAATTGTTTAAAGACTACTGCGACAACACAAAGGGAAACCACTGTTTTCCAGGCCGACTTATTTAACCCTGTCATTGGTAGGCATTATCCTAGTTCACTGATAAGATTACGTGAGGTTATTACGAATCTGTATTATGACTACCGTTTCCGATCTACTGTGATTTTCAAAGCCGCGGCGGTTTGAGTCGAGTTTCTGCAGATATTATTCTTTGCAACTGAGTCTTCGTAGCCACATAGAGCAGCGTCGCAAGGAATGGAGAACGGCACATAAGATGAAGTCGCCTAGCACTGTTCTATTATACAAGACGATTCGTGCCTCTGGAATGAAGTGACCTCAACTGACCTCATTATTTGCTTTCATGGATAGCTCTGCTCACACATCACAAGAAACAACTGCTGCTCAAACTCGACTCAAATCATCGCTGCTCTGAAGGAGGCGAAGAAGCTGAAACATTAGCCAAGAAACATTTTTATAAATCCTTGCGTAAGTTTGTCAAAAAATCAAGATACCATGACGCCTTATTCTTTCATTAAAGTCTATATTTTAGCGCAAATATTTATGACGTATCCACGTTGTGGACGAAAACGATATCAGATGATAAGAACGCCCAATTAGTTTTTTATATAAGCAAAGCGATCTCAGCGATTATCATTAAGGCCATGTGCCAGCATGATTGTCTCATGAACAGACCCTCACCAAATCTGATTTCAGTGGGCATTGGCAGGTATAAAGTTGAACTGACACACGCAGGCGAACGCATTGACCAGTAGACCAGAGATACCTTTTATCTAGATGAAAGGAAACGAGTTGGATATAAATCTGAAACTTCATCGAGACTAGGCGTGAATTTCTATACAGTACCCTTGTTTCATGTTGCAGAAGGATGAGTTTCAATAGTGTATACCGTGGTCATAAGCCTTTGCTCTGATTTCATAGCTACGTCACTTTTCGTATTTTGGTGGTCAGCTATTTTTTCCACTCTCATTTTCCTCTTTGCACTATTTTTACGACCATCATTATTCACATCTCGTTCATTGAACAATATCTGCAGAATTTTAGAAATAGAGCATAAATAGAAAGGTCAAAAAATAGAAATGAAAGAAAAAACTTTAGATATTTAAGATAGGTGGACAATCTTAGAGGAGGTACTTCTGGCTCAATATCATATCCCTAGTTCGGTATATGTAGAGCATCAGTTTGTGTTTCTTTACCTAGAAAGATGCGCGTAGCATGCTAATGTAGGATATTTCATTACTTACAAAGTTAGTTGTTATTTTTGGGGTTATTGCCAAGAAATTTTCAACTTTTAGAATAGGCACATTATGCATCAACGGCTAGAAGAAAGTGTTTTATAGAAGCTTTATAAAAAGAACGATGTAATACTGAGGGGGTACGATTGTGCTTAATTTAATAAAATCACTACAAAGAACAATGAATACAGCAAGCTCTAAAGCTACATTGGCCTGGTAGGCATGTGATCACTATTTAAGTTCAAAATTTATGATTAAAAGAGAACAAGGTCTATGTTTATAACTTCTGTCTGCAACCTCTGTCAAAACATTGTCTCGTATATACGGCGAGTAGTATTATCTTAATGCTATTAGCACAAGCACTAAATCACATTGTGTAACATAGCCACGATTTCATTGGATAATATACTCTGAAAAACTGCAAACTAGTTTCCATGTAAATTATTTAAACTTCTAATTACGCCAATGACTCCTACACAACGCATATGAAAGCCAGTTGGATGCCGAATTGATGCGAGGGAGAACCTATTAGTCGTTAATTGGCTGCTAGTAAAATTAGAATCCGTCGAGACCCAAAATAGTTGCCGATGGGAATTGCCCAGTAGCCGGATAGATGCCGATGAGATCTGGTGAATAGCTGGTTGGCTTGAGATGTCTTCACACATCTTGTCCTCAGACTGTCTCGTTAACACAGTATCGCCTGTGGTGCGCCAATCGATTCGCCAACGCCGAAGAACCGGTTCTTCTGCAAATGCTCCAAGCGACGAGTGCGATGAAAACCGTGGGGTGGCAAATTACGTGAATTCTGGATGTGAGCGATGTGTCGTTGTGTGGTGACCGATGATGCACAGCGTAGACAATCCAATTTCTCGAAAATTTCTCTCCAGGTAGGCGAACCGGATTTTTTTCGTGGGGTGCCATGAACACGCGCAGATACACGCACACGCGAGCGGACATAATACATACATACATACATACATACATATATACATACATACATGCATACATACATAAATACATACACACATACATACATACATACACAAATATATACGCATATACACACATACATACATGCATACACACACATACATACATACATCATACATACGCACATATATATACGCACATACATACATACATACACACATATATATACGTACATACATACATACATACATACATACACACATACATATATACATACATATATACATACATACATATATACGCACATACAGATATACATACATACATACATACAAACAGGCGGTCAGACAGACAAACAGACAGACAGACAGACAGACAGGCAGACATAGAAGTACACAAGTAGACATATGAATACATACACACATACATACATACGCTGAGATACATTCATATATACATACATAATAACACAGAAACGAAAGCGACATTGAATTACCGTGTATAGACATTCGGGCTCAAATATAGAGAGTAATCAGCAGTAATTAACAAAATGAACAGGAAAGGTGATTGACTGAAGGGCATCAAAAGCAAATGAGAATGTGAAGTAAAAGAGGCGAAATTGACTTTATCACAGAGACTTCGTGAGAATATGATTGATATGAAGCTCGAAAGATTACGAAGCAAAACAAAATCAGAAAGTGGAGGAAGAAGCAATGTCCTGGGTTGATGATACTGTGAGATGATTGCGGTAAGTACGGAAATATCAAGAAGGGTGTATTGGATACAGTCTTCACTTCAATGTATTTATCGTAACCAAGTCATAGGACTCGCTACTTCCTTAAGGAAATACTCATAACGAAATCAGCTAATAAATTGGAACTACCTTCAATCTTCATTCCTTGCTGTAAACATTTTGCAAAGCGGCACCGTGGACAACGTTTACGACCGGCTTTATCTACTGGACAATTAGAAGACGCTGCACACTGGTAACTCTAAAAATAATAAAGCAGTGAATGATGTGGGCGCGATTTTGGCGAAATGAGTTCACGTAGTTGAAGTCGCTTAATGAGACTTCTCATCCGTACCTTCTTGTTTTGCACAGTGCGCTTGAAGAAGCCCTGAAAAAAGTAAATTAAACAGACATTATTGACAGGCAATGAGCTATTGGGAGAGGTGCAAAGGTATCAATATACTTTTTTTCTGAAATGTGAATTTCTTAAGAACAATCCCTTACTTTACAGCTTTCACAAGTAAGAAGTCCGTAATGGTAGCCGGAAACGCGATCACCGCATACTGGGCATTGTTCTTCTAGTCTGGATCGGGGTGTTACCTCACTTCCTACCATAGTCGTCTACTTCTTTTTTTACTATATGCTTTTAGATTTCTATTCACAATCACGCTCTAACTAGGTAAACCTGTAAAGATGTGTGAAATAATTGAAGCATAAGTACAAATAGAGAGAAATGTTTGAAGAAGATTGAATCGAATCGATTCATTTGCCGTGGTGAAAGACATCGATGAGAAAAAAAAGAAGAGTGACGCATCGTGTAAAAAACTTTTGGCGAGTTTTTAGCACGTAGCCGATTTGGAATTTCTGTATAACACTTTATACATACATGAAAACAACGAATTCACATTGGCTAGAAATCATATGAGTAGAAGTTGCTTTAAGACTTCACAATAGGTGGATATGAGACACAAGCAGTATGGGATCATTGTGACGACAGTGACTTATGAACGTGCGAATATGGAAATTTTGAGGAAAACATTTCAGTAGATTCTAGCGATGCCACAGACACGACTAGGCGGTTTCTGGCTCTTCGAGTGAGATGTTGCGTCTTGTATGTGAGACATTAGACATAAGGTGCCAGTGATGATGCTAAAGCGGAGAACTAGTGTCGAATACAGGCTGCAAATAGGGTAGGGTGGTTAAACCGGGTGCGCCGTCAACGGTAGTGGCGGCGTAAGCGATGGCGTCAACGCCCGTAACACTCCATCCACCCCACCCCCAACACCCCAACCCACCACGCAACCCCCAACCCGGCTTTGCCGTGAGCCGAAACCCCCATTGCCAAGCGATAGTCTCCCACAGTCCCTGGATAGCGAAAGCCTTGATTGACACGACGCGCAGTTTTGTCGCCTTGTTAAAACTTGCCCTCTCACTCTTCGGCGCAGATCCACATTCCCTCCCACTAGTTATCCTCGCAGCCGCGTTGTTTTGTACCCACAGATGTCTTGAGACAACGCAGACGTACATGAATTAGGTGGCAAAATTGCAGAAACGAAATTAATAGCTTCGTTATGCCATCTTACTCGACAACAGCATATGTCATTCGCATACACCACAAATACTCCGTCAGAAACGAAAATGTGCAGCACTGAAGTCAAAACCTAGACCAAAGACATCCATCGATCATGCAAGGTCAGTGGATGTTCGTTAAAGAAAAGACATCTACATGATTTAATGGGACGGGTAAAATCAAATTCACTGCTGCGTAGTTTTATGAAGAAGACACGAAGATGGGAGCAATCGCATAAGAATTTCTTAACGCTGGAAACTGTTCGAAAATCACTGAGAAAAGGACACAGCTCACGTCCATACGAGAATTCTGTCAATATTTTCAATTGAACTGATAAACGAGGAAGAAATGCATGGTAAAAATTCACTAATGCAGCTCGACGAACCTAAAAACGCGGTAATAAAGGCGAGCCACAAGGTTCGTCTCTTGAAAAAATCCACCTCGCTGTCACTCAAACGCAGGACGAAAAAAATTCCGTTCTCACTGGCGATTTTGCAAGGAGCATTCCAAACAATAACACAGAAAATGAAAAACTGAAAACTTAAGAGCACGTTAGCATATAATCGTACAACTAAGGACAATAAATGGGAAGAAAATCGGTATGGCCCGACAAAAAGACAAATGGTGTTACAAGTAACTCTTTCAAGATCGTTTCCTTACAATGCGGATACACAAACAAAATTTCGCTGAGGAATTTGCTGCAAACTGGTTTTAAAGTACCAGCGTCGTCATGAGGCGTGAAATACAATTTCTTTAGAGTGCTGAAATTACGAAAACTTCATGTTTTACACTTTCTTGAAAGTATTTAGCGAATGTAGTGACTGTTGCTAACTGTTGAGCACCACGGAATTTAACACGGTCTTGGACAAAAAAATCTGTTGGTCTTCGTGTCCATTGGCAAACAGAACTCAAGTGATGGATATCGTGTGTGATAAAAATGAATGGAAACTTTATTGATATCCGATCAAATCACTTTATGAGTGTATATTTTTTTGTATGACTAGTTATAAACCGGAATTCAGATAAAATAGAAAGGCATGTGGGCTGAAAAACACATCTCAGTAAAACGGGAGAAATAATCCAGATGTGAAAAGTTTCTGATTGTTTGTTATTCTTTGTGATTTTTCACTTTCTTTGATAAAAATCTTTCAGGTTAAAACAACAGTTGTCTGCGGTAGGGAACGAACGTGCTATTACCTTTTCGGGGGCGAAACGAAAAACCCGCATGGTGTGGTGGCGAACGCGTTAGCCCCCGGATAGGAAAATAACGCGCTCATTCCCCTCCGCAGACACCTGCGGTCCGGAGTTTTGCAAATATCTCATTATCGTTATATCACACACACAATACCCTGCCACGAAAATTGTAATAGATAGTAGATGAAAAACTTAACATTGTAAAACAGCAGTGTTAAACCTCCTATTTCTTGTTTAATATTTTTTTCATGACAGGGTATTATGTAAAACGCAACTACAATGATACTGGGATATTTGCTAGTAAATAGAAAATTAACATAGTGATTTTGACCGCAGCCACAACTTAACCGAGTTCAATGGTCGATTTGTGGTCCCCAAATCATACCCGTTGAAGGGTGATTGGTGATAAAACAGTTTTTAGTAAAAAACTGGCTGACAGAAAGGTTTAACAAGGGACTCGTTTGCGCAGTGGGTAACACGTGAGCCCGGAAAGGGTAATTGCCTGTGGTGCGACTTTTGCAAATAGCTCAGCATCATTGCCATTGTTTAAGTTATTTCTATAGTGGTTTTCGGGATATTAAGAGGAACTGACAAGGGCTTAGTGAACTAATGCGCAAATTAGTTGGCAAGTTTATAATGCAAGGTTATACTGCTATGAATCCATACCGAGTTCATAATGCTTTAGAAGCTGTTGAACAGCTTTCTTCGTGGTATTATGGCTTTGTGTGTTTCAGTCTGTTTTCACCATTACATGTTTGAGTGGGGGGTGTTTAAGCACACAGGTTATGATGGATGCTTTGTTATATGAATAGTTTGGTTTCGATTAGTAGTACACCTGCCTTAAAGGATAAAAATGGTAGCTTGATACATCATTCAGCTCCTAAAAGTCGTTATTTGGAACAACTAGGCAATGACACATTTCTACGCTGGTTGGTGAACTCGAAGGTACGGCGTGTTTCCAAGCTATAGGTCTAAACCAAACGCTTTCTGTTGTCTACTGTAAGCTTCAATAGGATTTCTTTGTGCTGGAAACAAGGAGTTAAAAGGACGGAGGAAAGGAGAACAGGGAAGGAATCTATCAACTAATTTTTTTTCTCCGGAATTTTCAACTTAGACGACGTTACATAAATCTTATTAGGTTAAGGTTTCGACGCCACTGTCTTCTTTCGAGACAATGGTCCTAGTCGATGATCAACAGTCGAAAGTAGATAATCATCAGTCGACATACAAAACAACGCTAGCCGACGTTTCGGTAGAATCGCCTTCTTCAGAGCCTGGAAGGGTACACTAATACGAAATTTACTAGGTCAATCGCTTCAACAGCACAAACAGAAAGATGAAAATCTGAACGATAATTACAAGATCAACGGCTTCTCGAAAAACCCACCGTTTTTTCATCCGTCTTCCACCGAGGAAGAACAGCCGCTCAATGTCACATATGGTTGACGACTGCGCCACCCTACATCAACGATCGATAGGAAAGTACGGGGCGAGATCACGTGTGATCTCGGGGCATTCTTCCCTGTTATTCATTGTAGGTTTTTTGACATTTACCCAAAAAGCCTCGAGGAGCTTTCGTGTTGGTGTTTTAGGATCCCGTGCGACTTTTTTCGAGAAGCCGTAGATCTTGTAATTATCGTTCAGATTTTCTTCTTTCTCTTTGGGCTGTTGAAGCGTTTCAGTTAGTAAGTTGCGTATTAGTGTACCTTCCAAGCTCTGAAAAACGTGATTCTGCCGAAACATCAGCTATGTTGTATGTGTTCTATTTCTATGGAAGTGAACGTGTGCTGAATAACAACCTCGCGATTACTGTAAAAAAGAGAACGACAGATTTATAATCCAAATCCGAGGTTAATAAAAAGTCGATTTTGGAAAGTATCAGGCGACAGTCGGTTAATAATCATTCTTTATGAGAGAACACCACTGAGTGAGCTTACTGCAATTGACCGGTGCTCCACTCACGGTGATTCGTCTCGATACGACTGCCAAGGCCCACAAAGAAAGGACGAATGACTGTGGACAATCGATTTAGGTGGTCGACTCTGGAGAAGACGAAGATGTGGAAAAGTTCGCCTATTAAAACTTACCTAGCAAGCTCGTGTAGGCCGAGCACTCCAAAACAAAATGTGTTAACTATTCATCTCGATATTAATTGAACGACGATTTACCAAAATGTCGACTATTTCTGTAGTTTCAAAATATTTTTGGCAAACTTCTACTGCAGTAGTTTAATAATTATAATCTTAACAGGAATCTGCATTTATGAAAGAAAGCAGTCATTAGGACCAATTATTAAAATTCACCACATTTTTCCTCTTAGCTTTGAAGAAATGTGTAGGCTTTCCTTAAAAAAATCTTCCATTTAGTCCCAAGTTTTAGTGCAAATACGATTAACTGCATAAGTGCAATGCCGTGCACACAATAGGCACCCGATGGATTCCCACAAAAAGATTATCCAGCTGATGTGGCAAAAACATACTTTTAACCATAACGCGACAACGTAACCTCTATGGGAATCGTCATGAATTGCAGAAGTAGTCGGCAGTAAATTGTTTACTTTTTATTTTCTGCTTTCTATAATTTTTATGGTAGGGTATTAAGCAAAATACAACCAAAAGATTGCTGAGATATTTGCAAAACTCCTGACCGCAGGTGTCTGCGGTGGGGAACGAGAGCGCTGTTGTCCTTTCCGGGTAGTAATGCGCTCACCACCGCACCACGCGGTTCCTTCGCTTTGCCTGCCTCTCAGTTAGTTCTGTCGATCGGTAAAATCTTTCGAAGTCTGAACATTTAAAACGCCTTGCTATGCGGTAAAGCTTATAATAATTTCCAACGATGAAATTCTGATTTT